GATGTTAAACTGGATACACTTCTCGATGGAAGATGCTTGGAAGAAGCTCTCGGAGTGCTTGGTTCTCGGCCCATATTCTACTATTCCAATTCCTTCTATGGTTTTGGAACCGTGCGTATACTACTGAATAGCACGTCTTTCGGTTGCAAGCGCGATGGATTCTTGGCTTCATTCTTTCTTGCAGCCCAGCTCTGTGGTTTTAAAGTTTTTCACAAAACTGTACTTCTTTATTATTTCATCCTGGGGCATGTCCCAGGTATCTTTAGTCCTGAAGCAAGTAGACTTTCGTCTGATTACTCCTGATCATTCTATATCGTGTCCTTTTTGCCACATTCTCTATCATCAAATGTAGAGGGGTAAGGTTTAAGATCATCTCCATTGCGGCCGTAAGACAGGTTCTCAATTTCTCATTGCACCAGTAATGTAAACACAGGCTAGTCTTTATACTTTTGAGATATTAGCTCTCGTGGTAGCTAAACTAGGTCTGTTACTCCAGGCTAAAGCCCCGTAAGGGATAATTGGTCTCACTATTGCAGTATACATCCATCGCAGTATGTTTGGGTTACATCCCCATCGTTTACCTGCAATGCTTCTGCATACCATTAGGGCTTTTGTAGCCTTATTTACTACTTCCTTCTCATGTATATTACAGAGAAGTTTGTTGTCCAGGGTTAGGCCTAGATATTTGACTTCATTTTTCCATTGTATATCTATCCCGTCTAATTTAACGGTTATGAGATTGTTTTCTTTTCCTTGAAAAGGCTACTAGTGTTGTTTTTGTAGAGTTTATACTAAGTTCCACTTCACGGCACCATCTTTTGGTATGTTCTAGTCCTCGTTGGACTATATCACACAGGATATTACTAAACTTGCCACTAGCAAATATGATTATGTCGTCGGCATAACCTTGACAGGGTATGCCGAGGTCAGTCAATCTGCATAGAAGTTCGTCTACGGTTAGCCTCCAGGTTAGTCAGGATAGAATTCCTCCTTGTGGACATCCTCTGGTTGTGCAGATGGAGATGTGTCTCTGCAGTTCTCGTAGGTAACAGCTGAGCCATCCATCTGGAGTGATGTTATCTACTCTTCTGTATGCAGGTGCTCTTTTTACGGATTCGTGTGGGGTGTTGTCAAAAGCTCCTTCTATGTCTAGGAGGGCACACACGACCATCTTTGATTACGTCAGTCAACTGTACCAGGGCAGTTTCTGTAGATCTTCCTGCTCAGTACGCGTGTTTGCTATGGTGGAGTGGCACCCTCACCAGGACTTCCGTTCTGATATAATTATCAACAGCCTTCTTTATTGTTTTTAATACAAAAGATGTGAGACTGATATCCCATTAATAATTACGTAAATTATTAATCTTTATATTTTTTATAAATGATAAACTGCTACGCCACTCGTTCATGATAAGATCGTAATACTTTTTTAAATTAACTTTCTGTATACGAATGGTAAAAGTATGTTTTTCTTGTAACAATTCAAACAAATAATGTCGAACATACATTTTAATTTAAATAAAATTACTTTCAGGTAAATTAGGTATTAGTTAATTAGATATAGCTACCTAGAAAAATAACAAGAAAAAATATAGTATAGGTAACTTAGTAAAAAAGGAAAATAATTTCAAAGCCAAATGTGACCTAAATGTAAAATAAATAAAAATAAGAAATGGGGGTGGGTTGGCTCAGTGGTTAGAGTCATGACTTTGAGATCGGAAGGTCTCAGGTTCGAATCCCACCGTTGGCCGGGATTTTTTCATTTAATTTAATTATTTAAAATTAATTCTGATGCCTTGGTAGGATTCCCCGCTCGACCATTCACTGTTGGGTTCTAATTAACAGTGCTGTTCCTAAAGTGGCGCTGGGAAACAGTAACAACGCCTACACAGAACACGAGGCGAAATAACCTTAGCAGTTGAAGCCGATGACACACAAAAAAAAAACAAAAAAATAAGAAATTTTCTAAGCCTTGTGTTAATAAATAATAAAAACAGCGGTTTCTTTTCGGGAAACAATTACTCCTTTGGTTAATATATCCACAGGCATTGAATTGTATAAATATAGAAATTTTGTGACACATGGTAACGTAGTACCTAAATGAAACAAAATATTAGATTTATTTGAGATATAGATATAGGTTGAGGGATGAAATAAAACCATAATTTCTTTTTAAATTTGACAATTTATTTTAATTTTAGTTGTTTTTATTATATCTTCGTTTTTCAAATTATAATTTGGCCTCTACATATCACAACCAACAACAACAGTATTTTTATAATCATTTAGATTTATAGAGATTATAATTGTTTAACTTTTTACTAACTTTTTGATGATTCAACACTTTAAATTGTTGTTATTGAACATAATCTTTAGTAAATATTTTTACCTTTACCTAGAAATGTTCTACTTATTTAATTAACAAATTTTGGAGAAAAGATTACAATACATATAGAGCCACACAATATAGGTATTATTTAAAAAATATATATATTTATTTTTCAACTCTTATTAAATGTACATATTTATAATCTTACAAAATTACAACAAAGAAAAATACTAACGCCTTTGATAATGGTTTAGGTTTAGGCCTTTGTTTAAGATAACAGTGACGTACTTATACAGTAAAACGTTATTTAAGCAGTTTTACAATAGAATTAAATTACGAAAATAAAAAGTTAATTCAAATTATAATTTATACTTAACACTATAGGTATTTAATTACTATTGCAAAATAAAATAGATATATAGGTACCTTTTATTTTCCTATCAAAATATAGATACCTAATCCATAATAAAAAAAATCAGCAATAAATTTTAAATAAATAAAAATTTACTTGGTTTTCGGTCTTTTTTTTTATTTTCAATTGTTTAGCATAGCACTACATGTTTCGGAAAATTTTTCCATCTTTGGGTGCAAAAAAGGAACAAAAATGTGTGAGACGTTTGCCCATCGTTTGCCCATTATTGCCCATGAAATAACTTTTTTTGCCCACCCTCTGTTTTCACATTATATCGAAAATAATTTTCGCCAACTTCCAGACAAAAGTTAAAATTTTCATAATTTATTTTCACGGCATAATAGCCTTTCGTTTGCCCACGTTTGCCCATAAATTAGTTTAAAAAAAAAAAAAAAAATTAGGGAAAATAAAAAAAAAAATAACAAAAAATATTCACAAAAATGCAATATGATAACTGTATTAGATAGTCATTCGTTAGCCCATATTTGCCCATTTTTTGTTTCACAAATTTCCATAACGATCTTCAAAAAAAATTTAATTAAAAAAGGGATTTGATGACAATTCCACTATCCGAGATTTATACGAGTTTATTTGTTATAAAAAATGGGCAAACATAGAAATAATGCCAAAATATTTGCGAGTTACTAAAAAATGTTTTATGAGGATTGCCCATTTTTTTAAAAATCCTCGTCCAATGGGGGGGCTTAAACTCCGATAATAGTGCATTTAAATGTGTTTATTAGTGATATATAAATGGGCAAACATCAAAATAATTCCAAAAAAGTGTAAGTTGCTAAAAAATGTATTCTGAGGATTGGCCATTTTTTAAAAAAAAATCCTCGTCCAATAGGTTTACTAATTTTTTTATATCAAGTAAAAACAGAGAAATGCATTAGTATCGGAGACTAAGCCCCCCTATGGGACAAGGATTTTTTTTTAAATGGGCAATCCTCAAAATAAATTTCTTAGCAACATATACTTATTTTTAAATCATTTCGATGTTTGCCCATTTTTTTATATCAAATAAAAACACAGAAATGCACTATTATCGGAGATTAAGTCCCCCTATTGGACGAGGATTTTTTTTTTAAATGGGCAGTTCTCAGAATACATTTTTTAGCAACTTACAATTATTTTGGAATCATTTCGATGTTTACCCCATTTTTTTATATTAAGTAAAAACACAGAAATGCACTATTATCGCAGATTAAGCCCCCCTATTGGATGAGGATTTTTTTTTAAAAATTGGCAATCCTCAGAATACATTTCTTAGCAACTTTATATTATTTTGGAATCATTTTTATGTTTGCCCATTTTTTTATATTAAATAAAACACAAAAATGCACTATTATCGGAGATTAAACCCCCTATTGGACGATGATTTTTTTTTTAAATGGGCAATCCTTAGAATACATTTATTAGCAACTTACACTTATTTTTGAATCATTTCGATGTTTGCCCATTTTATTATATCAACTGAAATGCACTACTATCGGAAATTAAGTCTTCCTATTGGACGAAAAGTTTTTTTTTTAAAGTGGGCAATCCTCAGAATACATTTTTTAGCAACTTACACTTTTTTGGAATTATTTTGATATTTGCTCATTTTTATATCACTAATAAACATATATAAATGCACATAGGCGCCGAATCCTCGGGGCTCTGGGTGCGCAAGCAATTTTTATTTATATAAAAATCTGCTACGGTCGAGAATTCTTATTCAAATAAATTTTAAAAGTTACAATATTAAAAATTGGAAACTAGATCTACAAATAGGTAATGAAAATTAATGCAATTAATGCGGATATCGGTAATAAATAATAAATTAATTTTGTATAAACCATAATAAAAATCACAATTTACGTCAAAACTCCGATTTCCTTTCGATTTACAAAGTCAAAACCTTCAACAAACATTTTGATTTTTATTTTTGTAGTTAACATGACGCAAACAAATTAAATACTTATTTTAAGAGAACAAAGATCGAGTGCACTGAAAACTAGACAAAGAAAAGTAGGTATAATCTTAAAATCAAACTAGACTCATTCAAATTACCTTATCTGCATTTAAAAACGTCTAGAAAGAATCATGAAAAGTCTCATAGAGAAAATATATAGGTATTTATTAAAAAATAAACAAGGAACAAGTAGTTTCTTATCACTAATTTATTCTATTTTTATTCATGACAATTTCAATTTGTGCGCGTACGCGTTGGGCTCATGGATGCTGCTAGTCCTGGATCACGTAGGCCCGTCTCGAAACGAGCCGACGCTACCGACGATACTCGAACAAGCGACGAAAGGAGGGTGATACAACTTTATAAATACAGTGAACAGCTGATTATTGTTAGCAGTTTAGCGCAGTCAGTTCATATGAACATCAGATGACAGTCCTTGTTTGAGTTAGGAAGTAAAAGCCGGTTTTCTTATAATTAATAAATTTTGTGATTTTTTCAATTAAAATGGAAGTTTTACCCTTCGTTGATATCAAGCACAGCAGTTTTGAAGGTAAGTGTTTAATATTTTCTTTGTGTGAAAATTTTGACAAGTCGAACTAGTGACAAATAAAGGGTTTAATGGTTTAATTAGTTAATTTAAAAAGTATTTTGAATTAATATCTGTTAAAATAGTGTGAAAATCGTATATATATATGCCCATTTTCTTTGTTAGTTTAAAGGCCCTTAAGCCCTATATCCTTTGTTCTGTTCGACCTGTCAAAACTTGTAGTTTTTCCTTAATTTCTCTTAGTTCTCCTTATGTATGATATTTGCTTGATTAATTAATTTGTGTTAAGAACCAAATTAATGGAAATGTTCATAGAATAGATTAAAAAAATATCGTTTTGTCCTATATAATTAATTACCCTTTGTTTGAAAGTCAGATGTTATTCGAATGATAAATCGATTTTTTGCCGTATCGAAACGTGAAATCGTTTCGAGGATTGCATCACCAGCTGATCGTAGACAGTTTGGGGATACCTTTGTGTTTATTGGAAATTTTGCCCAATTCTCGGTAATCGATAAGGTTTTTATGGGTTCGTGATCACCGGCCGGCGTTTTCTAGAATAATTCATTATTCCAACATCATTAACAGTTGCAAAGGAAAAATTTATATCAATTAACGTAACTTATAATTAATTTTTTAATTTAATTGCCTATAGGTACCTAGCTAGGTACATAGTTACAACATCAATGTAAAAATATTCAATTTATCTAACTTGAAATATAATGATTTGATAAAGTCTTAATGTTAGGGATATAATATTTACCAATAATTTTATATAAAACTTATTAGGCCAGGAAATAGGGTACAAATTGGTTTTTTAGGGGTATTTTTTGAAAAAGAAAACTCGACTTTTTGAAAACGCTGCGTAAACCTATTCTGAAATGAAAAATTCTTGTCCAAGCCTCATATATAAAGGTTATTTGTTATAGTTTATCCTCTAGAACGTTAGGAAGACACGAATGTCTACGCTACCATGTTTTGCACTGTCTCTGACAATAAAGTAAATGGGGAGCAATCAAAATCGACTGAAGTTTTTAAATTTCATCAAAGTTACCCCTATTGTACACTTATAATTTCGATCAGAAATTTAGTCTAGTTCACGTTCGCCAAAGGGTATATTTTTTATGTGAATGCTGTATGACTGAGTGTCGATTAAAGACGAGCGGTCGTAGGTTAAGAAATTCGGAAAAATTTAAAGTTGTTAAGCGCTGAAATAAATGCTGATGTATGTAGTATTTTAAAGGAATCGTATGCTAATAATGAAAAACTTACTCAAACAGTGTTTTTTGCAATAAATTTTGAACGAAAGGTCAGCTCTATACAACTTTTAATTTTTCCCAATTTCTTGACCTACGACAGCACGCCTTTAATACAGTTAATACAGTATTTGCATTAAAAATACACCATTTGGCAAAGAAGAATTACACTAAATTTCTAATTGATTGATTGTTTGGAAGCGTTTTTTTCTAATCGATTTTTAAAGGAAATTATAAGTGATACGAAATAGTTAAAAGTAACATCCATTTTTTGTATAATTTAAGTAACTATTTTTATTCTAAATTTAACAATTAAGAGTTTCCTTTGTTCAACACCGGCTATTAAATTTGTCCCAATTTCGCCGGAATCGATTTTCTCGAATCCATAATCGATTATAATCGATTGTTTAATTATTCGATTAATAAATCGATTCTCGTTGCTAACCTATAGAGCTCTACCGGCTTCTTGAACAACCGGCTTGTATAGCTGTGACCTCCTATGACCTCGAAAGCAGCGGTTAGCAACAGCGAGTTTCACTGTGCTTTGATTAATTAATAGCTTTCCAGATGTAGTTAAAGTAGGCGTTTACAGGGTGTTCGACAAGTCTTTGACATCTTCCAATCTCTCGTTTATTAGAAACTCGTTAATTTTTTTTTTTTTAATTGGCGATTAAAATATTAATTTTTTCAATGATAATATATTGGACGATGGGTTCATTATTTGCTATATCAGTATTATTGATATACTTGCAAGCAATAAGCTATTTGTTTATGTTTTTCAGGAACCGAGTTGCTATTTTTATACAGTAAACATTGGATTTATTTTTGATCCTATATACGAGTAGTGTATGCTTAAGCGAGGTAGTAAATTTTATTTTATCTGCCTCCATAAAGCAATTAAATTATTTAAGATATTAAGTAGGTATATCAGTCTTAAAGCCCATTTATAGGTTTATAACATATAACATTAATAACAATTATGTTAACGATTCAAATATCTACCTAAAATCTTTACAATGTAAAATACTAACAAAATAAAAAATATGTTTATCTAATAGGTATATCTACCTAAAATTGAAAAGAAACAAAATCAGTCTAAAATTGTCTTTTTTCTATTACTTACTCCTTTCAGAAAGTAACATTTCAATGAAAACAAAATTGTTATCTTGTTATTTATGCAAAAACATAAAATATACCTAATCACAGATCACATATTATTTATTATGTGCTCTCAAAATTTGATGGGTCTTTATTATAGGTTTTTCTGTTGAATACAAAAATGTTTTTTTATTCATTTATTAATTAGTATGGCTATTAGCTACTTGAAGTAACATCCAGGTTCAAAAAAGTCTATGGGCTTGAACAAGCACCTCTTTATCACTAAATAAATATGTATAATACCTTTGTGTAAATAAAAGCTAAAACTGGATAATTTAATATGAACTCACAACAGTATACCTATCTTATCTGTTTTTCACTTCTTTTGAACAAATAAAAAAAATATTAAACATACAACTCGTCCGTATCATAAACTCGTAATCTGAATTTTTAGATAACAAAATTCTTAATTAGTTTTGTTTCTAATGGCTGTTTTCCTGAGGTACAGTATATACCTATATATTTAAATTAGGTACCTATCTATAAATCTAGTAAATCAATTTTTACATAGTCGAAGGTTGACCATGAGTCATTTGATGTGCCATAAAGTCTAGCTGTGCACGTACCTATAGAACTAGTTAATTTTTTAAATCTAGTTTTTGCTTCTGTTGGCCATACTCTGTTGATTTTTGCGGCCTTCAAATGATTAAACAAAAGAGCAATTTGTTTATAGTATAGTAACATTATTGTAGACATTTTGTCTAATGATAGCGTTATCAATCAATTCTGTGTCAAGTTAGATTGCGAGATTTTGATAATTTGACCATAAACTAAAATTAAATCCGATAAAAGCAAATATAATTTATTAAGCTGTCAAAAATTCATATAATGAACTTTCTAACAAAACAACGAACCTAATTGGCGCTGTATAAAAAAAAACTATTATTGCTTCCCTCTGATCAAAATATATACCTAGCATTAAAACAAGTTCCACGTTTTTACATAAAGAATAAAGTAATACCTAATATGTAAATATATTTAAATGGAAACGTGTGTTGTATACTTTTATTTTAATTGATTTAAACAAACCTTATTCAATTTTTGTTTTTGTTGATTTTATATTTTTAGCACAGGCATTATAATTCAGTTTGTCAATAAAGTAAAATTAATTATAATTTTCTTTTTTTATCTATTGCAACCGTTATTATTTAGTTTGTTCCTGTAAAAACATTGTTATTGCGCCTACACCAAATTAGTAGCTGATCTAACTGCTCCTGAAGAAATAGACAGTCAAAAGAGCTTTAAATCATTTGCGAACGTAATATGGTTGATAAAGATTAAAAAAGTAGATTAATTAGATCTTTGAGGTACCATTGACAGCGAAAAATAGTTTTGATGTGTAGCCATAATAGGTTTCATACTCTTTTATTAATGATCATGCCAAGCATATACTTATTCTTCTATACACAAATCTATAATAAGAATTAGTTATGGTTAAATTATCATGATGGTTGGTTAAGTCGCCCCGGAGCGTCACGGCAAATAATAAACGTCCCTCCCCCACACAAGCTTAGTCTTCTGTAGGAGTTTAAGTTCACCCATAAGGGGGTGAATTAGGGCAAGTAGTATTATTATTATTACGTTATCCCATATTAATATTTGGCTTAGCGATCTTTATAGTGATCACGTTAAATGTCAAATGGGATATCTAAGTTCAGTTAATGATCGATCTAACATTACAAGTTTTACAACTATTGTATCTTGATCCAACTTAAACAAAACGTAAAAATACAAAAATGAACTTAATTGAACAATATAAAAATTTAAATATACAAAATAGGTCAGTAGTAGTGCCTACAGCAATTAATTTAGTACATAACTAAATAAGAACTACTTCTGCAATACTGGCACAATATGAAAAGAAAATTAAATGCCTAAATAGGTACCTCATTTTGCTTCCCCAAGAATGAATAATCTTAAACCTAGGTAAAAATGTAAAGTTTTTGGCTGGTAATGATTATTTTAAATTATATAATGATAAAAAAAATAAATTTACTAATTCACAATTGTGTGCAAATCGCGCAGTCCTGATTTGTAAGGTACTACCTAGGTACTTATATTTATATTTAAAAAAAAAGTTTCATCTTCATATCTCTCTATCAAAACAAAGGAAACACGCCTAGTTACATAATAATTTATAAAAAAAGTTAACTAAGAATATGAGTTCCGAAACAAAGATTGGTTTTTTTCCATCGCGCTTTTAAAAAAGCGAGGTCAGTCATAAATCAAATCATCTGGCTTTGTTCGGTCTATAGCTAAGACACGCCTTCGATTTCACCGCAACAAGTCGAAACGTACGTGCTCTGAGCATCAAATGTGACGAGAGAGAGAAAGAAAGAAAAGTACAGTTTACTTCGTCAAATTTATAACCTTTTTGAATTCGAAGGGTAGATATACATGCATACACATACGTGGAAATAAATTAGGGACAGCTTTTGGGTCCAAACAAAGGAATTGATGTAGGACTAAATTTTTTTTTATTCGTCAAAGAGAAACGCGGATAGCTAAGTAATCGTATGCTGAAAAAAGATTATATTTATGATGTCCATCGTTTAGAACCGGTTTTAGCTCGTATTAATTATTGGTAGCTATTATTACCTGACACTCTTAATGATTTATATTATTGAATTTATTACCAGGTAGCGATTTTAAAACTAGTAGCTCTACCTGCATAATGTGATCTTTTATATAAAAAAACCCTTTGTGGATCACGAAACACTTGTGCGTTGAGGACAAAGTAAATATGAACCCGAAAAGGTTCTTTTAAACCACTTGTTTCGGATTTTATACCTGTTAGGGACAGCGGTATTAATCAGCTGATTCTTTTTCTTTTGTAGTTCACTGTTAGGGATTTAACTCAACTTTTCGGTAATTTTTATATAAATAAAAATACATTATGGTTATGACTAGCAATCTTTTGTTGTATATTTTATTCGGGTGGTAAATCTATACAGAATTCCATGTACACATCTGGCCGTATATTATTTTTGAATACCTGCATTATTTTTGAACCCTCAGTAAAATACTGCTAATTGTCGAAAAATCGATTTTCATCTAGAATAACAACTTTTATTCAAAAAAAAAAAAAACTTGCTATACTTTTTGGTTTTAAAATGAAATTAATTATGTTAATCTAACAATGTAATCTTGCTATTCCAGGCTGTGAACCAGAATACAATGAATTCTTTCGGTTAGAAGAGACATCTTTGATAGAAGCCCTTTCCAAACGACTGGAGGCTGAACTTAGGACTGCCAAACGCACACACTTATCCGTAGGAGAAGTGCTTCTACCAAACGGACTGACCCATTCCATAGCCAAAGACCTCTTCTATTTGGCCGATTCCGAACCGTGCGGGCTTCGGGGTTGTACGCTGTATATAGATTTCGAGGCAAATGATCTCAAGACCAATTTGAGCAAAGTTAAATGTGATTCATTGACCCCGTCGACGTTCGAGGTGTATTTGACGCTCAAGCAGGCCCCCAATGGATGGAATTCCTTCCTGCCGCAGTTCCTTAAGTAAGTATCTCGATTTTACGCACTTAAACGCAGTACCATAAAATCATTAAAGCGACTTTTGGTTCATTTGGAGATTTAAAAGCGTTTACATTTCCGTCCGACCGGATATAAGTGTCTTTTCTAGTTTGAGAATCGTTTAGGCTTCCGTCCGATCGGATGTTCTTTTCTAGCTTGAAAATCGTTTAGGCTTCCGTCCGACCGGATGTAAGTGTCTTTTCTAGCTTGAGAATCATTTAGGCTTCCGTCCGCTTGTCTATATGTCTAAAAAATCGTTTTAATAGAAGTAATAGAGTAGTAAAAATGTGTTTATTAATTTTATTTTCGTTTGTTTCAGGAAAATCACGAATTCAGGAGCGCTTATGATAAGTTCAGAATATGGGCTTAATAAAAAGCAACTGTATAGATCAAGTTATTAACCTTTTTAAGTGATTTTTTGTGATCGTTCACACACATATACGTACATGCATATATTATATATCTCGAAAAAAAAATTATTTCATTCATTTTTTTGTATAATCCATAACTACTATATCATTAGTTGTAAATGTTTCGTTTATTTGTAAAGTTAGTTAAACATTGAGTTGTATGTAAGATATTGATGAATATGATGAGAGTTTTTAAGGTTTTTGGTAATTTTAAAAACACTAAAAAAAAATTGTGATATAGGTGTGCAAATTTTAAAAGAGTTATTCATATTTTTTGTGATATTAGTTCGATACGAATTTTATTTTTATAGAATAGGTGCGTTCGAGATATATTTGGTTCAGAACTGAAATGTTACAATAGCAAGTGATGCATCCAAAGAGCACGCCCCGCCGATTTAAATTAGTATTGCGTATATTATGCAGTATCGGTTTTGGGGATGATATGTTGCTCTGTGCATCGCTTACTTTGTAAAAAGTGATTTGTTCAGTATTAAAAACTTTACCAAATATTCTGAGAACAATCTGATCTCAAATTAATATAGATTGTTAGAGAGATGTGGGAATTTTTATACATTTTTAATAGAAGTCTTCATAAGATTTATGTACTTCCATACTAATAATTCTAGATTTTAAAGCGATAAACACAGAAGAATAGAAACCGACTGGTATAAAATTTTTAAACCAGTTTTTTGTTATTTTTTTTCTATTCGAAAAGTCCACAACTTGATATTTTTGGCTGTTGGCGTTTCTGTTCTTGTTTGTATATCGTTTTGATTTAGTTGTTCTATCGATTAAGTGTATGTAACAATAAAAAAGAAAAATAATAAATCTTTGAAGTATGTTGATATGATTTTTTTATTTATTTAGCTGTGAATTATGAAAAAAAATTCTCAGAAGAATTTTTGGTGTTAAATAAAGGTAAATTCCCAAAAAAAAATAACCAATTCAAAAATTTGGTATACAGGCCCCAAAAAGTTAAGTCTTATTTTTTACAAAAAAAAGTTCTACATTACCTAAAAGGTGGTACAGGGCCGACGAGAGGGGGGGGGGGGGTAGCGGGGACTAATTCCCGGGGCCCGACAGCGGTATAAGGGGGGCCCCGGCAACTGTTTTTTTGTTGCAACTGTTTTTTTTTTTGTATGAGAAATTCGACACAAGAAGAGAGGAGGAAGTTTTAGGCTGGGAAGGTGTTTTTTTTTTTAGAAAATTGAAGTAGAGGAGGAAAAGTTTACTTTTTAAGAAAAAACAATTCAAGCAGAGGAAGAAAAGTTTTTACTTTTTAAGAAAAAGCAATTCAAACAGAGGAAGAAAAGTTTTTACTTTTTAAGAAAAAGCAATTCAAGCAGAGGAAGAAAAGTTTTAGCTTGAGGACCTTTTATTTTTTTTTTTAGAAAGAAAGTAGAAGAGGAAAAGTTTTTTGTTTGTAGAGCTTTTTTGTTTGTCACCGGGCCCGATCTAGAGAATTGTTCTGGGGCCCGGCCTGGGTCTCGACGGCCCTGAGGTGGTATAAAGCAAAAAATAAAAATCTAGTTATTACAGGCTTTTTCCAGTTATTTTGTACAACCTATTATAACACTAAATTCTTTAGTTTTAACAATTTTCTTAAAAATCAGAATTTTGTACATTTTGCCAAATTTCACGATTACGGATCATTTTAGGAAAATTTTGTATATATATATATATTCCATAAAATATAAAAACGTCCCCTATAAAGTTCCCCCCAGATGTTTCGACTCTGCCAAAAATCTATTCAGTATAGCGCGGGCCAGAATAAAAGATTTTATAAAAAAATATATTTTTTCTTACATTTTGTCAAATTTCTCGAGTACGGACCATTTTAGAAAAATTTTGTATTTAACAAGAAATATAGTAAATTATGTCACAAACAACTTTTATTTGAAGAATTTTCATAAAAATTTGATTTTTTTACATTTTGTAAAATTTCTCAAATACGGACCCTTTTAAAAAAAAATTGTATAGAACAAAAATTATAGATAATATTATAAAAATAACTTTGATTTAAAGAATTTTCTTCTCCAAACGTAAATAACAGATATATTCCATAAAATCCCCAACTCAGATTTTCTGACTTTGTTCAAAATCTAATCATTTCACCTCAGTTCGAAATAAAACTTAAAATTTAATATTTTTTCCTTTTATTAGTTTTCTTCAAAATTCGAAATTTACACATTTTGTCAAATTTCTCGAATACGGACCATTTTAGGAAAATTTTATATAAAACAAAAATAATAGATAATAACATTATAAGTAACTTTTATTTTAAGAATTTTCTTCTCCAAACGTAAATAACATATATTCCATAAAATATAAAAATGACCACCTATAAAGTACCCCCCCTATATGTTCCGACTCTGTCCAAAATCTAATCAGTTCACTGGAGGCCGGAATAAAGCTTAAGTTTAAAATTTGGTGTTTTTCTTTGTAACCATATCGAGTCGTGTTCTTCCTCTAGCTGCCTTCTTCTCGGGATAGCCATTGTATAATATTTTTAGAGTCAGTCTGTGGACATTGTCATTATTTTTTCGTGGTTGTGTGTTTTTTTTTTATATAGTCTTTTTATATTATTTATTTGCCATTATTGGAACTATGGTATACCGAAACTAGTAAACTTTATCATTAAAAACGGTAAGTTTTAATTTATTTGTCTTTTAATTTCATAACATCACTTTTAATAATGTCTTATTTTTTTAGAAAAAACACCTTAAAACAATTTTAAATCAACCAAACAAGTACTTGAAGTCATTTTTTAATAGTTTGGTAATGTATAATAAACAGTATTAAATAGACAGAGTATTCATTTATTTTTTTTAAATGAATTTCCATTGAGTAAATAGTCGTCTACAAGACGAACAAAACTGGATATCTTAACGAACATACAAAATAAGATGTACTAAAGGCGCTTTATTACTCCTCCCCTTCTCGTGGGTACGCCACTTGCAACTTCGACATAATTTCGGCAAAAAATTAAAATAATATTAATAGAGAAACTTATAAACAATAAAATATTTCCGGTAACTATATTTATTTAAAATACTTGTTTCCCCATTAGTATAATAAGTTAATCAATCAATTACATTAAATTAGTTAAATAAAAACGCCTTATGGAAATGTATTGATTGTAAAAGATATGCAAGCATTAAATCTAGTGTCTGTAATTTTGGTTGCATATATATTGGATAAACATACCGTGTTCCTAATGTTTCACTTTCTAATTGTCCATCCTTGTTTATCTAATGGAAATATTATGTTTTTTCCTATTTCAACTTCATAGCAATCGAAAAGGCTTGACGTCTTATTAGGACTTTTTGGTATTGGAATGTTGGTAAATAGGAAATTTTAACATCTTCCTGTCAAAAGTTGACAAAAGTGACCGTGAACCATAACTTTTTTCGATGTTGTCCGGTGTGTTGCTGGATTTTATTGTTTTTCGGAATGTTTTCGTTTGAATTAAAATAATTTTATTCATTTTTCAAAGTGTAGGTGTGGTTTTGAAAGAACTTCCTATATCATTTATCCCGTAAGTATTTTACATGAGATAATTGTATTCTCTGCTGCGGCTCATATGATGAAGTAAACAACCTAGGACTTGAAATCGATTATATTCCGACATTAACTATCCTCTCAGATTTTCAGGAAAATATCAGACATTATTAAGATTTTACCCTTTTCCTTATTCCGCATAGAAATAGTGGATTTGTGCCAAACACTTCCTTTAAAATTGAAAAACTGTAACACTGTCATTGAAATATGTATTACCAGTGACTATTCTGTAATTCAGGTTAGAAATGCAGAAATTTTTGTGTAATGAAAATAAAATTAATCAAATATTGCTAATTAGTTTCTTAGAACACATATTGATTTCAGATCTAAACAGGGTATGTAAAAATGCATTCAATTATTCGATTGCTAATAATTTCTCATAAATGATTAACTTATTTATGTATTACAATTTGTAGGAAGTACTTTTAGATTTTCAGGTAAATATTTATTACCTACTAGTACAAATCTTACATACAGTAAAATAATTTTTTTCTTATCGACATTATTAATACATTTTTCTTGGTATTGGAAAAATGATTAACATTTCCAACCTTGTTGACCCAATCTTTTGATAACATTAATATTTGTACTATTACCCTTTTGTTGCCTTTTATTATATTATATTCAAATGCTATTTTTATTTAAGTAATATCTCTATGGAAATCCAAACAATGGATAATTTCAGGAAAATTATAATAGTATTATAGCTGAAAAAGGGTATCCAACTGCTCTAATAAGCTCATATTAAAAGTCAAAAATTCATCAAAATCAATCTCACATAAATTAATTTTATTAAAAGTTATATGACAACCAATTTCGACCCTAGGCCATCATCAGATCTAAGTATGAGTGATACTAATAAGCGCATACAATACTGAGAATGTCTAAAAAATAATTAAAATGTAAATGGTTGATACCCAACACCAACTTGGGCAAAGTCATAAGAAACAGGCACAACATAGTAGGTAATTAATGTTAATAAAATATTTATAATAATGATTTCTTTGATTACAACATTTTACTCTAGGGCTGAAACTACTTGTCATATAACTTTTAATAAAATGTATTTGTGTCTGATTGATTTTAAGTAGTTTCTTACCATATATTGTTATATTTTTATATATAAATCGTTTATTGAGTCAAAAAACTATTTTTTACTTGTCAATCCATATCCTCACATTTAAAATAAGATTAAAAATACATAAGTATACAGTCAATTTACATGTAAAATGGATAACATGTCAACTCTACAAAATATAAGAAGAAAAACATCAAATGGTCAGCAAGTAGGTACTCACATTTTATTTTTTTTTTTAATATTGCTGCATTCGAAAACTCTAAAATTTTGCTTATTTCATGTATTGTGTTCATGAACATCCTGATTATAACTTAAAATATTATGTAAATATAATAATAATAGTTTATTTGTCCTTTAGGATCATGTTACTTGATATAGGATAAGTCATAATATATATGAATAAAAAATATTAAAATACAAATAAATATAGGTACAGTATACAAAAAATATATATATATCTAAGACATGCACATTAAAAATATAAAATTAGAAAAACATTTACCTTAAAATATGGTGGTATTCAGATAAATTATAAAAACATGAATCTACTAAATAGTTTTTAAGTTTTCTTTTCAGATTTAATGAAATCAGGGAGTTGATAAAAAAATTTAATTCCAACAAATTCAGGAGATTTCTCAAATAATGCTGTTGAATGTCTTGGTGTTCTGAATAAATTTGCATTCCTAGTTGAGTATTCATGGTAATTTGAATTTTGTAAAAATTGGTGTATGTTGCCTTTAGCATATAGCAACGTTTTATAAATGTAAATACAGGGAAATGTTAATATTTTAAATTTTTTGAAGTTATATTTACAAGTTTGCATTAATTCTACATTAAAAATAAGATAAATACTTTAGATGCATTGACTGCATCACCCCAAAGAATAATGTTGTATGATATATGAGAATATGCTAAAGCATAGTAGACATTAAGCAGTTGCTCTTGGGTAAATATTGATTTTAATTTTAGTATTGCATAGTATGCGCTATTTAATTTTTTACAAACATTAGATATTTGGCTATCCCAACCCATATTGCTATCAATATGTATGCCCAAAAATTTTGTAACATCTGAGAGCATAATTTCTGCATTATTGACATTTACTTTACAATTCTGGGTAATGTGACTAATTTACAATAGTCACATTTGAAAAAGAAGTTGTACTTCAAAACATGTCATGTGTAGTGTTTTTAATTTTTATTTTTTAAAATAAAATAAAAGTTTTGTGAAAATCTACCAAATTTGGTTTTACTCATTCAAGATAAAAAGGATTTTCATCAAGTAAAGGCCGAAACAATAAATAATAATTAAGAAGCATATACATCTTATTAAAAAACGTATCAAGATTACCTGTTAGGGGAGATTCCTGATTTATTCTTAAATATAAATAAGTAGCAGGGAATAGAATAGCAAATATTTTTTAACAGTCAACCACTGAAGAAAATTTAACATGGAATTGATTGATTCTAATCTTGAACAGCTCAGTATTATTATGCTCATACCTCTATTCTGTAACTTTTGCAATCATCCTAACTAATTCTAGTTGTCGAGTAAATACAATATAGTTGCATCATAATTAAAATGAGGTAATATAAGAGTATTATAAATTATTATATGGGCTAAGCAGTAGCCCAACCAGAATTTTGTATTAGGGGGGTATGAAAAAAATTTGAGAATATTAAAAAAATATAATAATTTTTTACCTAGTTTAACTTTTTCAATTTCAAAATCTTTTAGGTTCGCGTCTGGGGCTGGGGGAGGGGCGGTTTAACCCCTAAATCCCCTTGCTGCGCCACTGGAACTAAGTGAATATGTATGTAGTGTAGTTGTTAAAGTTCTGTAAGCTCTCCTTGACTTGTGGATCTTCAAAAATCACAACCTATTTTTTGCAGTTTTGTTTTTTTTGCCATATTTAATTATTATAATCAATAAAAATGCGGATTTACATAAAAATAAGATAACCAGAACTAAATGCACATTAGTTATACACGAAACAAAAACAAACGCAAATGTAAACTTATCTAGGTTATTTTTTTATCAGATATTTCTTCTTTGATGTAAAATTTGCCACTATTTTATTTTTGACTTTTATTCTTCTTTTATATATGTTTGTTTATTACGAATTTTTGAAAAAAATAGTATAAATGACTGTTAAGAGGTCACTAATGGCACGATCTTTCCCAGTTATAATTATGGCTGGTTTAATTTAATTTAGGAAAAATATTAGTAGATTACTTTTTAATTGTCTATAGTTACCTGAGCGTACTTTTATTTTTATATTTAAACAAATAAATTTTCCATTATGAGTCGATATTATGTTCTTAAAAACATTTGAGTCATTTTGTTTTGTAGGTAATGGCCTCAAAATTAATTAAAAACTGTTTACAAATAAAATGAATTCAATATTGCAAATATACATATGAACATGCCTTATTTTTAATTTTTGTATTATTTTTATTGGAAATTCGTTTATAATTGCCTGTATTATTAAAAAAAAATAGTTTGTTTTATTTTTCATCCATATACCTTTCACCCTCCATTTAGAACGCTATCTAACAACAGATAGGTTTGAATAATTCAGTATAGGTCTAATGACAGCTGAAAGTAATTCTCTAAGATAGTTCCCTAGGGAAACAATGTCACGTTGGTACATACCATCAGGTTATTCATAAGTTAGAAAACTAGTTTCATTAGCTAGTACGAAAAATTTGATAGCATGGAAATAACAAAATTTAATAATTTGTTTTATAAAAAAAGAGATTTATGCATATGTACCAGATATCCCCCCTTTTAGTTTCATGTAAGTAGTGAGGAAAGTATAGGATTAATAATTTTTTTGACGTCGACTTGTCAAGAGATCTTTACATTTTGGAGTCCCCTAAGTTCGTAAAGATGTCTGTTTTTATCCACGTCTACAATAACTCAAAAAGGGATAGAGAAAAACACCAAATTTTAAATTTAAGCTTTAATCTATTCTGCAGTGAGTTGTTTAGATTTTATGCTTAGTTGGAGAATCTGGGGGTATTTTATAAAGGGTAGTTTTTCTACTTTAATGTATATTTCTGGGACCAGGAAAATGTAGTAAGCTTTCTTTTAGTGATCACCCAAGTGTGTTGAGCAAACTATAAAAACTGGCACTTAAGTTTGTGGTACTCGGTCCATAGCGACATTTAAAGCCAATAAATTTCGGTAAAAACTTATTGTCATGAAATTCCTAATCCGACCCTGTGTACGCGCACGACCTTCACATGGCAACCGACTCGTGATCAAAGCAACGCTGACGTGTGAAAACAGTCGAACCGCCTCTCGAATATACAAGAAACGACGGAATGCCTGCCGGTGATGCACTAGAAACAGCTGGAACGGCGGGGAGTGCCGTTTATTCATAGAAGTGGAATCTTCGAGAGCCGCTAGCGTGTTCCAGTAGCGGAGTTGGACTAATATAAATAGCCGACGTACCGGCGCCCAGTTTAGTTGATTATAGACAGTTTAGTTTAAAACATTGTAATGAAAAGTTAAAGAAATAAATTAGAATTGTTAGTTAGTGTCTAAGTATAATATAAATTAAATAGTACGTCTGAAATAAATTGTAAATAGTGTGTTTTTAAATAAACAAACTAAGACTTTCGTCACATTATCGATACTGGGGACTTATACCTTAGCTTATACCGATTACTGGAAGTTTCAAACAATGAAAGCTATCCACCGGAACTGAAAGGCTATAAATAAAACTCTTTAATAATTAGTAGAGCGAAAATACGTTAAGTCACTGCTTTATTGTCTTAATTTCGGTATAATTAAAGCAATCGTCAATTTAGAAAAAAATTAAAGCAATCTATTTAATGCTAGAATATTTACTATACATTGATGCAGACAAACTATCAAAAGCATTTAATTTGTAATTAAAATAGGTACAAAGGAACAAACACATTTAAACGCCAATATCGTCATAACTTTATTACTTATCGGGTTTTCGCTCTGGGTAATTTGATATATGGAATTTTTGATCGGAACTATTTATATTTTTTAGGGTGTAGGGGGTTTAAAGAATGGTTTATTATGCATTTAACTGTTTTAAATAGAATCGTGTGTACATTCAAATTAAATGATAATAAAATGTTAAAATATTGAAATTAATTGTAAAAAAAATGGTTTATATTTTTTGTATGTAAATAATACTTAATAGTTTGAAAAAAAGTTTTATTTAGATATTGGTGGTATATTTTTTTTTCAGAAAATTTTGTTCATGCCGTCCCCACGCTGTTTTTAAGATGGATTCTTCATGGTAAGTTTTATGGCTTGACCCTGACTAATTTGATTATACCTAAATATGAATCATATGCAATAATCTATACAGTGGCGGCGATAAACATTTAGGGGCTTCCCGCAAAATTATGTGACAATATTAAGTACTAATTGTCAGTCGTGTATCTAGACATGTTTTTTATTGGGGAGGACTTATACAATACATATACAGGGTGTCTGTAAAAGGTCTTTACAAAAACATACCACATATTCCTTAGACCAAAATAAGTCGATTTAAGTAAAATGACAGTACAAAGTTGCTTCGTTTGGGCTCCAGAGGGCCTTGAAGTTACAATTTGGTATATTGGTAGAGTTTTATGTAGCAAAAAAATGGTATTAAAATTTTGTCCGATAATAATACATAGGCGTAGAACTTGATTTTTTAAATAATTGCACCTTTAAAAATTCTACGCCAATGGAAGAAAAGGAGTTAGAGTATGAAATTTAGATTGCGCAACTCATTTACTTTAAAAAAGGTACTCTTAATAAGACTCTATTTCTCTCATGGCTTTGACGAAATTTGCATTTTAGTAATTTTAGAACATAAACAATAATTATTAAAATACAAACTTTGTCAAAACCATGAGAGTAAATCGAGTGTTATTAAGGGTACTTTTTTTGTAGTAAATGAGTACCCAATCAAAATTTCATAATCGAACCCCTTTTTTGCCATTGGCGTAGAATTTTTAAAGGTGCTATTATTTAAAAAATTAAGTTCTACGCCTATGTATTATTATCGGACAAAATTTTATACGATGAAAAACATAAAAATGTACTTTTTTCATATCTTCTTCAACACCTCTAATCGAGACTTTTAACAAAAATACTCGATTCTTGCCATGTACGATTTTTTGAGGAATATTAATTATTTGCCTGCAATACGTATACAAAAACATTCATTGTTAGTTTCCATAGTTTCATCTAAATAAAAATATTGTCAAGTTTTAACACCTAATCTCTTGTTAACGATTGAAAGTGTTCTATCTGACTCAATAATTAAAAAAACAAATGTGTGGTTTATTAATATGGCTGTACAATATACCAATGCAGAATATACCGATATTTTACTGACATTAGGATTTTGTGAAAGAAATGCTCGAGAGAGTGTCAGGGTGTACTCTGAAAGGTTTCCAAATCGTCGTGTACCTAGCCACCCAACTTTTGCTGCTGTTGAGAGACGTCTTCGGGAGACCGGTTCCTTTGCTCCCAACACTGTTGATAATGGAAGAGAACGTTTTGTAAGGATTCCTGAAGTTGAAAAAGACATTTTAGAACGTGTTGAAGAAGATCTAAAATTAAGCACCAGACGAATTGGAAGGGAACTAGGAGTAAGTAAAAGCTTTGTCCCAACATCTCACAAAACCGTAATATTACGGTCATCGTCATGCGCAGTAAATAAAAACCTATCAATAAAGCCCAAAGTCGAACGGTTTTTATTTACTGCGCATGACGATGACCGTAATATTACGGTTTTGTGAGATGTTGGGACAAAGCTAAAGATGTCGTTCATAAAGTGCTTAGAGAACAATTGCTATATACATACCATAAGAAGCCAGTACAAGAATTATTAGTCCATGATCCTCAAATTCGTTCGAATTCAAAATTAATGTGGGTTGGAATAATTGGTAATTTCATTGTTGGTCCTGTCATACTTCCACGAAGATTAACTGGAGAAAATTATTTGGATTTTCTACAAAATACGTTGCCAGAATTGTTAGAAGATTTACCTCTCCAACTTCGGAGAGATATGTGGTTTATGCAAGATGGAGCTCGACCACATTTTTCTTTAAACGTTAGAAACCACTTGAATGAACAATATCCACACAAATGGATAGGCAGAGGTAATGACGCACCTGTAAACTGGCCACCACGTTCCCCAGACCTAACACCGATGGATTACTTTTTATGGGGACATCTGAAATCCACAGTTTACAGGGAACCTGTAGAAAATGAGGAACAACTCTGGCAACGTATTCAAGATGCAATAAACAATCTTAGAGGTGATGAAGAAGTTATGGAAAGGATGCATTTTAATTTTCTTCGACGTATAAATCTTTGTATGCGTGAAAATGGTGAACATTTTGAACAATTTTTGTAAAATCTCTATTTTAATTATTTTGTAAATAAATATTTTTGTGAAACCTATACACTCTAAATTATTAAAACAGAAATTTAGCGAAAACCATGAGAGTAATCGAGTCTTATCAAAAGTACCTTTTTTAAAGTAAATGAGTTGCGCAAACTCCTTTTCTTCCATTGGCGTAAAATTTTTAAAGGTGCAATTATTTAAAAAATCAAGTTCTACGCCTATGTATTATTATCGGACAAAATTTTAATACTATTTTTTTGCCACATAAAACTCTACCAATATACCAAATTTCAGAAAATCGCATATGCCGTTTTAAATTTATATGGGAAAAACGATTTAAAAATTGTAACTGCAAGGCCCTCTAGAGCCCAAACGAAGCAACTTTGTACTAAGGTAATTTTACTTAAATCGACTTATTTTGGTCTTAAGGAATATGTGGTATGTTTTTGTAAAGACCTTTTACAGACACCCTGTATAAGAAGGAGATAAATGTGAATCAACCGTAAAGAGAAAACATAGGAAATATGAGGTTTGATAGCCCCCCCCTCTAGATCTGCCACTGCTAACAACATAAACAGTTGCAACATATTTAACAAAATAAAGAAAACACGTAGATAATAAAGCCACATATGAAAAAACTAACAACAAAAAATTGAAGGCATATCAAATAAGTAAAATTAAAGTACCAACTAAAATCGCCTTGCACTATGTGAAAATTTATCTACGTTATGCTATCTATAGTTACGCTTGCAATAGGTGTATTCATAATTTAATCCAGTTTTGCCAAATGCCGGATTTTATCCGAATTTCTGTTTTTTTACTTTAGCGGACTTTTTTAAATTTTTTAATCTGGGATTTAATTCGAAATATCTATTTACTTTCAATTTTTATTTAAACAATTTCAAGTTTAATGTTTTTTTTTTATTTCAAAGATTGTTTTTACTTTTTTTCTGAGTTTTTTTACTTTTGCAGTCGGATTTCCTGAACTTTATTATTTGATAAATAATTTCGGGGAGGGTTCTAACCCCTAAAACCCGAACCCTAAATACGGCCTTACGGGACCCCACTCGCCGCGGGTCTTGCGGGGGCCTTATCGCCGCCACTGAATCTATATTACATTATTACTTCTAACGAAATATAATTAAAATGTAATTAAACATGACATCGCCTAAGGCTAAAATATTATGTAAACATTAATGGATAATTGTTTTGTTCATTAATATATTTCTTATATACAAATTATTTAAAATATAGGTTATATTTATTAAATTAATTAAATAAAATACGACACTCTATATAATTGATATTGTTAGAGAAAAGAAAATTAATTTTTCCTTTCCTATTAGAATTCGAACAGATTGTCTCGAACTTTTCGCCTCTTTTTCTTTTTGTCTTTACTTGTCGCTAAAATGCATAGTGGCAAAGTTGAAAATCGCGTTCAGTACCCACAAAGTTCCCTGGACAATTTTATTAATTCTACTATTCATTATTCTATTGTATTTCTTCCTGTTTAAAGTCCCATTTCTAATTATTTACCGTTCTGTTCAATATATGTATGAAAAATTCTTCCCAAATGTCAGCTATATCTTTTATTTTTGTCTGAAGTTGGTTTTCTTTATCTGTGACCGATTTAATTTCTATTATTACAAGTATTATTATTTCTTTTAGACAATGGCCTTGACTGAACAAGGCTAAAGACTTAAGATGTCTAGGTTATCGCAGTTTTACACCGTTGAGGTGGGCGACACCAAATTCACCATTTTGAAGAGATACCAAAACTTGAAACCAATTGGTTCTGGAGCTCAAGGAATTGTTTGGTAAGATATTGAATAAACTAGCTATAGTCGCAGATAGGCATATTTTTTTTAATTATAGCGCTGCTGTAGATACAGCTACACAACAAAATGTTGCTATCAAGAAACTCAGCCGGCCATTTCAGAATGTTACTCACGCCAAAAGAGCGTATAGAGAGTTTAAACTCATGAAACTAGTTAACCACAAAAATGTAAGTTTCATTAAAACAACTATAACATTCAATTTAACCAACCCCGCTCAAATTAATTTATTTTATATTTTCTTTAGATAATTGGTCTTCTAAACGCCTTTACGCCACAAAGGACACTCGAAGAGTTCCAAGATGTTTATTTAGTAATGGAATTAATGGACGCCAATCTCTGTCAAGTCATACAGATGGATTTAGATCACGAGAGAATGAGCTATCTGCTTTATCAGATGTTGTGCGGCATTAAACACTTACATTCTGCTGGAATAATACACAGGGTACGATCTGCTATGTTAATTTTATCTGTGTTCTTTCCAAAACAACTACAACGATATCACATTAAATAAAAAGCTGTCTTATACGGTTTAACCTTGGCAATATTTTCACATAATAGTTTATTGTAATACATCTAAATTAATTATCTGGAATCGCTACAGAGGGAAACTCTCCTACTCACAGAGTTCTACTACATAATTAAACATGGATATGTTACGATAAATTTGAAAATAATATTTTTTCATGACAACCTCAATAATTATTATTTCTGTAAAAAAAATGTACTCCATTTAGGACTTGAAACCCAGCAACATAGTAGTGAAGTCCGACTGCACCCTAAAAATTCTTGACTTCGGTCTGGCCAGAACAGCAGGCACTACTTTTATGATGACTCCATATGTAGTAACCAGATACTACAGAGCCCCAGAGGTCATATTAGGTATGGGTTATACTGAAAATGTGGATATCTGGAGTGTAGGATGCATTATGGGGGAAATGATACGTGGAGGTGTACTTTTCCCTGGGACAGATCATATAGATCAATGGAATAAGATTATAGGTGAGCACAATCATTTTGTATGTCAATATCTTTCTAAAGTAAAGAATACTTTTAAACTATCTTTCTTAAGTAGCCACTTCGGTTACCCAATACGATTTTAAAATATCTTTCTACAGTAAAGTATCCTTCTAGAGTAAAGTATCTTTTAGACTATCTTAAGTAGCCATTTCAGTTATAAGATACTACTTAAGTTCCGTCCTTAAACGATCAAGTTTTGCGCTCTTATCGCGTATAAATTGAGTTGCATGGATTTATTTGGTTGCAGAGCAACTCGGAACGCCGTCTCAACAGTTCATGGTCCGGCTTCAGCCGACTGTGCGGAATTACGTGGAAAACAGACCACGATATCCAGGTTTCAACTTCGACAAGCTGTTTCCTGACGTGCTTTTTCCCTCTGACAGCAGCGAGCACAATAAGTTGAAGGCTTGTCAGGCTAGGGATTTGCTGTCCAAAATGTTGGTGATCGATCCTCAAACAAGGATATCCGTGGACGACGCTTTGTTACATCCTTATATAAACGTTTGGTATGATGAGCAAGAGGTTAATGCGGTAAGTGTCGATCCGCTAATTTTGATTTATTTTGACTGATCTATCTCTCTTCTTTTATCAATGCACTTTGTAGATATTTATTTCTGTAGCACTTACTTACAGAATGTAAAATTCCAAATAGTACAGTATATCTAACCTAATACAAACAATTGTAAGAGTTAAAAACAATAGAATATATTAAAAAAGGAAGAATAACACAACACCGCGGGACGATACGAGTAAAACTTAGACATTCAGGAGTTGCAAGTCCCTTTTCAGCGCCAAAATATTACAATTAAATATCACAGTCCGAGTAAACTTTGTTATAGTTCTTGCATAAGCGATCAATAAATGCACTTTGTCCGTAATTGGTTCTGTGCCTTTTTACATTCAAAAATGATGTGTGCCGAGTCCGTCGGACAGGAACCCATAGTTGAACTCTCTCAAGCCGTGACCCGCACTCGATAGAATCATCACCTATTAATTTAGCCAGAAATAGGAGTAAAGCCTGTTTTCTTCTGCATTTCAGGCTTTTCATGAGCAAACATTAATCTTATTTGAAAACATGTGTTATGGTTATGAAATCGGTATTTAAAGAGCAGGTATTTTACGAATTTACGTTGCACCCTTTCAATTCTATTGATATGACAGGTGAAAGTATTATTATTTTTTATTTAAAATCTTTATTCATTTTTTAAAAAAATATATGTACAATATGTAAACATAAAACGTCACAAAAAACACAGACTGTACACAGTACAGCTGTGGCCCGAATGGTATCCATTGAGGCCTAAGGCGGTTTCTCCGCTTGTAATATGTTCCATGTTTATCTGTTTTGGTTATGCTAATTATAGCCGCCTTCGCTCCTTACCCTATGGGTATTATTGAGGGATTATGGTGGTTTTAGATCGGGAATTGTAGGTTATAGGAGGTTTGTCGTGTCTTAGTTTTGTATTGTTCCCTGAAAAAGCTAGAGGGTGAAAGTAGGTTGCCAAATAACAGAACAGTATTCCAGGACACTTCTCACCAGGCCATTGTGAAGTGTCATTCACGTACCTAGTATGTCTCTTGATGAAGCCAAGCATTCTGAGGGCTTTGCATACTATGGAATCTATATGGTTGTTACAAGATATTGTGTTATCAAAAATAATGCCCAGATCAATAACTGTTGAGGATCTATCTAGGTTGACGCTGTCAATACTGTAACAGTTAAGAGTAGGATTGTGGGATTTTGTAAAATGCACTTAGAAATATTTATAGAAAGAGCGTTATTTTTACACCAGGTAGCAAACCTGTTTAGGTCAGACTGTAATACGGAGTTATTACCAGTGTTTCTACTAAAAAACTTTAAATCATCCGCGAAAAGAAGGCATTGGCTATTAAGAAAGCAGGACGTAGCATCATTAAAGAATAAATAAAACAATATGTGAACCTTGAGGAACACCGGATAGGACTGAAACGTCACATGATACGGAATTATGCACTATGACACGTTGACACTGATTACTCAAATAAGATTTAATCCAGTAAAAATAAGAACCAGCGATACCGATTTCGGAGTTTTTTTTTCTTTCTCCTGGGCTCGTCTGACTATGTGTCTCCGAATAACACTGAAGCCTATTGGCTTATTGTGTTTTACCCCATGTTAGTTCATAGCACCCACTCTGTCACCTTTGTACCTTGTACAAGTTTGTACAGATCATTGGGTGATACTCTGTGTCATGTAGAATTCTACTTATCGTTTTCTAATAGAAATCGATTACTTTCTTTTGTGGCACTCTGTGTAACGTAGCGGAAAACCAACGAGTATATACTTACTACAGGATAACTAGTTTCATATTGTAGAAAGCGATAAGTAGAATTTTACATGACACAGAGTTCCAGTCCTTGGGTGAGTGGGTTCTATACGTTGTTAGATCAACCTGGGGTTGTCCAAAAAGAGCCTGTCTTTTGCGATCTAGAGCTTCGCATTTGCACAGTATGTGTTTGGCCGTTTCTGGTTTCATGTGACATAGTCGGCACATGAGTTCCCCATTGTCCTTTTACCGGGGCGTGCCCAGTCATAAACGCTGTTATCACTTTCAACTGGTTCCTATTCATTAGGAGTAGTTCTCCAGTTCTTTTGGGACATGGTCTGCCTATGAAGGCTTTTCCATGTGCCTGTTTTGGGGTGCTTCCCCAATAGTAAATATGTTGTTCCCGAATCCAGTCGTTTATGAAACGTCGGACTGTAGTTTTTGGTATTCCAGGGTTTGTTTTTGGTTCCGGTGTTTCTTCTGACCCTCTTTTTGCAAGTTTGTCAGCCTTTTTGTTGCCTTAGATCCCTTGGTGAAATAGTTTTACTCTATTTCGGTCTGCCAGTGTTCTTAGTTCTTCAATGCATTCCCGTACCAGCCTCGACGTAACTTTCTGACTCGATATGGCCTTAAGTGCCGCTTGGCTGTCTGACATTATTTGAATATGCTGATTTTCGACAGCTCTTTCATTGTTCGTTTTTGCACATTGCAAAATTGCGTATACTTCTGCCTGAAATACCAAGGAATGTATTCCTATAGCATAGCTATGGTTAGAAGCAGGGTTTTTGGAGAATACTCCTACCCCAGTGCCTTCCGCTGTCTTAGACCCGTTTGTATACCAGGTTTGTTCCTGTCGTTGGGCATTGGGTTCCCCTATGGTGATTTTCGTTCTTTCCTGTATTAAAACCTCAAATGGAGTATTAAAAGAGTACCTCTTGGTTATGTGGTCTGATCTCATGTCTAGCACGTCTCCTGTCACTAACCTTGAGATACTCATGTGACCTGGCCTAATGTCAAGATTTCTCAGTGTATTCCCTAATCTGTAAGCACCTAATCTTGCCTCCCCTTGTATCATATAGTGAAGAGGTGGGAGTCCTATTAGTGCTTCCATTGCAGCAGTGGGGGCTGTTGTCATTGCCCCGTTATTCCGAGGCAGGCAAGTCTTTGTACCTTGCTTAGCCTTGTTATTGCTTTCCTTTGCTGTGTCTTTGGCCACCATACCAAAGCTGTGTATGTTATTTCGGACACTGCAAAAGCTTTTGACAGATCGGTCAACCATTTTCAATTGATGAAATTAAGAAGTCTTGATAGATTGCCAGATTAGTTGATGTCGAACGACCTTGTTAAAAGCCATGTTATTGAGGTGAGATATAGTTTTTATACATGTAAAACTTTTCATCTGTTAGTACGGATTCAAATAGTTTTGGAATTATTGATATAATTAAAATACCTCTATAATTCTTTATATCGCTTTTATCACTTTTCTTGTAAACTGGCATAAGGTGGGAAAACTTTCAAGCAGATGGAAATATTCCACTATCAAATGATTTTTTGAAAATTTGGCTAAGTGGGATTGACAAATAGTCACCTCACCCCTTCAAGAACGACGGTGGTACCTCATCAGGGTCTGCAATTTTACTAGAGTCAAGACATTTTATTTTAGAAGATACTTCATAAGGAGTGAAAGTGTGTATGGCTAAAGTGGAATAAAATGGCACAGCGGGAAGATCAATTTTTTTGGTTTAAGTCGTCTATAGAATAGCACGTTTGGAAATAAGATGTGAAGGCGTTCATTAAATTAGGCAATCCGTACTCTCGCTGCAAACTTTAATAAATGTCCAAAAATGTTTTATGTTTTAAATGCTCGGAGTTCGAAATAAACATCAAGTAACACCAGTCAGTTCGAAATTTTAGTTCGCGCCTTTTAATGGAGTATTTAATGTAATTACTTTGAAGCTCCATTTTAATCTCCTTTCTACCTTTGCCACTATCGCAGCTTTTTATTGGCAACCATTGCAGTCTTGTGGAAATTAACCTAGAATCTTCGTAGGTCTATTTTGAAGTATATAAATAAAATTTCAAAGCGACTAGTAGGCCGCATATTAGCCGTCCAACGTGAGGCCAAATTAGGAAATCTATGTATTTCTACTGTGTAACATGTGATGTTGGTTTTACTTACCGTGTTTTAGCTCAATTTTAATTAGGGCCGTGAGTAGCACTTAATAACCTTGACAAAACTTAACTATAGGAAAGGTAAGGAGGGCGCCACCAAACTTACATAAACATATCATTTAAGGTGAATTATAATAGTTTGGCAAATATAATTAATATGACTGATGTTAAAACAAGAATGTATATGTTTATGCAGGCAAGTAACAATTACAATCTACACAAGCCATGATTCATTTAAATTACTTCTTTATTTAATTTTCATTGATAAAAAATGAAACTTATCTCAGAGTAGGAATGATGTTAGGTCTTCAATCTTTCTCAAATAAGGACGGTCTCAACTTAACATGTTTGTAACCATAAATTCAACTATCTTCTAACCATAAATTAACATATTTGTAACCATCTTCAACTGTCTTCTAAACATAAATTCAACTATTTTCTCAGCGTATGTTTAAAAACCATCCAAAGGTTGACTTATCTAAAAGATTGAGACCTTTTTGAAGTTCACGTAATAAGGAAAAATAAGGAGGTAAGATGTTTCTGAACACAGAATGAATAAAAAATAGATCTTTACAGAAATTAATGACACGTTCTAAAACATATAACCTCACATTTTTAACAACTAAATAAATCCCGATCCATTTCGTTAATCTTTGCAGAAATCTTGTAAATATTAATCTTTTACTCACCATAAAATACTGATGGTTCTCACCACTAATAAAAATACTACATACTGTTTAAGATTAATTAAATATTAGGAGATTTCTGAACATACAACTTATAAAACCAAAAATAACTATATAAAATATTTGTAGCGACAGAATGAAACTAACGGTCCTAATAGAGATGGGACAATCATTTTAAAAATATAGTTATAAAATATTAAAAATAACGGTACTAGAAGAGTAACCGTTACAACTGTTACTCTGTAGAAAATTATTTAGTCGATTCCTTTTTGTGTTTTCGAAATTTTACCGCCAGCGACTTGATTTTATCTATAAATATATGCCTATCAATTCGTTTTATATTTACAGCCAGCTCCTGGACCGTATGACCACAGCGTAGACGAGAGAGAGCACACTGTGGAACAATGGAAAGAACTGATCTATCAAGAAGTGATGGAATACGAAACTTCTCATGGAAGAGGAGGATCTTCTAGTTCTCAACTAAGCCCCGCTTGCAATAGTGAACCTAATGGTATATCTTAGTCTAATCCTAGTGATTTTTTTGTGGAATTTTTGCTTGATAGTACCTGTGACATATTAACGTAATTTTATGTCGATATTGTTTTTTTAGGGCGATGGGAAGTCTGCAGATTATTAATTTTTTTTTTCAGTGCGTCAAAACATTCGTATTTGACCTTTCAAGCTGTCACTGTCAGTTAATGCACCTGTCAAAGTTCTTACATACTGGGGTAGACTTTTCTAGTTATATCCTTGTTTACTTTTTTATTCTTTTAAGCCACAATAAATTAATTTGGTCGCAATAGAAGGGGAAGCGTTAATTTTTATACAAATTTCTTTTAAATGTTACTAGATGTTAAACTGACGACCTATCGGTTGTCAAATATTTAGTTTAATGCAAATGAAAGTCAACTGTCATTTTTTGTGTTAGTTGACGTTGTATTGTTCCAAGTTGGATTACAGACGAATTAAATCTTATATTGTCATTATTTGAAATTGACTGGTGAATTTCGAGGTAGAAAATTTATTTTAACATTCAAAAAGTTTTTGTATATTTAAAAGAATCCACTTCTAGGAACGGAAATGTTTTATCGGAAACATTTCAAATTGTCATGTCATTAAAAAGGGGATTTACAACTATTAAAGTGTTTGGTAAAATGGTCTTGTGGTCGTAGAAATGATGATGTACTTTTTACTCTCATAATATAATATACTTTCCCAAAATAAGTGCTAATTTTTTTTTTCTGTTGAAACATCTCCTTATTTTTGAGTCCTTCTAAATCATAAAATTGTATTTCTACGGAAAATTGACTGATTTAGGTTATAAATAGGTACTAACCGTCAACATAATGCCCTTCCTTATTAATTTTAAATTTACCATTTGGTTTCTTTTGCAGGTTATTGATTTCGAAGCACAAATTCAACTTCATCTAGTCTAGTGTTAAAATTGTATTTATAATAATGATTGTTAACACCAACGACAAAATTAGTTATTCACAATAAAATTACGGTTATAAAAAAAAACAAAAGATGACTAAAAGAAACGTTTTTCTGTGTGTCATTGCTGATCGGGTCAGCTTTGCTTATTAAAAAAAAATTCTTTACTAAGCAGTTTTTACGGAACATACTGTATACGAATTCAACCCGAGAATAACCAAACGCCGAGAAGCGACAGCTTTGTCGGAACGTTTGATGTTTGTGGGGTCGATTTGCGGTGACCTTGAAGACACCATAATTACACCGCACGCAAGCTGAATTGGCTCGCAGTCGCGCGATGGCGCGGAAATTTGAAATTTACACTGCTCAACTCTAAATATGTTTTTAGCAAGGGAGTAAATCACACAGTAATAACTGAAAGAAATAATTCAAAACAGTCGAAACTACAGTTGTTGCGCTCGGATTAAAATCGCTGGACACCTTCGTATACGGTGTCGCGCTGATCTAGCTGGCCACATGCAAATAGACACCATATTTTCGATCATGCGCCGTCGAAAACCGACCCGGCGGGAAAGGGTCTTTGTCGCTTCTCGGCGTTTGGTTATTCTCGGATTCAACTCTTTAATTATGATCTGGTCTGGTACCTTTAGAGTTAAGAGTTGAATATCGGAACCCACTCAGATCTTGACGTTGACATTTTTGATAACTGACATTTATCTCCAATCAACTCTTTTCCTGTCCTCCAATTCCTCTGACTAATCGAAATTAATTACAATGTAATAATTAGGCATTCCAACGACCTGTCAAACAATAGGTACCAGTGGGAAATTCTTGTATATCTAAGGGGGTAGCGATATAATCTTGCAACTTGGACGCTATTTTTATTAGAAGTAGTAGTCGCCAAGCCTGCCAATTTATGAAGAAATGTATAGGTGGGTTTTTTAAATATTAGTTTTATTGTGTTTGACATAAAATATTTAAATGTTATTCATTATTCATGATTTTACGTAAAGTAGATAGAATGCACCGTATGTCGCCACCCTTAGATATACCAAACCTTCCCACTGGCAATTCATTTGTTTGGAATGCCTAATACGAACCCACCTGAAGCTTGTCGATATTTTTGACCACTATGACAATAATAGTAGGATGAAACCCGTTAAAAAAGGACGAGAATATAACAAAAGTGAAAGGAAAAATAATTTACGGGCGATCTGAGGTCGGGAAGTGGAAGGGGGTGAGTTTTTAAGGGTAAAAACGGTGTATCTCGATTTCCGGCAAAACTACAAGTTCTATGGAAAAAAATTAAATGACAAAGTTGTAGGTAATAAAGAGACTTACAACTTTTATAATTAAACTTTTTTCACATAACCTTAAAATTTATGTAAAAAATTCCTCAAAGTAAGTAGTAAAGAGAGGACAGTAAACAATGTTTGTGTCTCCATAATAATATGGTCGAGAATTCTAATTAGAGAGAAATAGATTAATATCTCTATCTCTTTGTTTTTATTTGTCAGTTTTACAAAGCTTTTCTCAGACAATTATTCCAGTGTTTAATTTAAATTTGTTCGTGCTGTGGTGTTAAAAGTAATTGTTATTAATATTATATTCATAACAAAAAAGTCATATTTTGTTTTCACTTCATTAAAAATGCACCTACCTACCTTTTAAAACATTTTATTTTATATTCTACTTGGTCAACATTTTCGCATTTAAAATGACCCAGCGAAATTGTTTTACGGTACGCTACTGCTGAGAATTCTAAAACGAGTGAGAAAGCCTTCATTAGAAAGAGAGATACTGATTATATGATAGCGACATTAATATTGTATAACTTTATGCAGTGGTGGCCTATCTGCTATTATATTATCTAAGAAAAATTCAAATAATCAAGTTTTTGGTTTTTTATTTTTATCTTATGCAAAAAAAAATTCTCGAAATTTGGTGAAAACTTACCTTTTTATGTCCTAAAGACACTGTAATTTTTTTGATTTGAAATATTTATTTTTTCACCATATTTTGACTTAATATCGAAAAAACACCCTAATTTTCAATCGAAAATTGTCGCGTTATAATATCAGCTTTTTAAAAAAAGTTGGGGAGTTTTTTGTTCGTTGAAATCTCTTCTTTCTGATAATGTAAAAAAATATATACATAACTATGGTAAATGTTCTCAGAAAATGCAAAGAAAAGAAAAAAAACTCGATTCCGAAATTTTCCGAAATAAGGTGAAAAAATAAATATTTCAAATCAAAAAAATTACAGTTTCTTTAGGACATAAAAAGGTAAGTTTTCACCAAATTTCGTGAAAAAAAAATTTTTTTTGCATAAGATAAAAAATAAAAAACCAAAAACTTGATTATTTGAATTTTTCACATAAATTTTGAGGTTATGGGAAAAAAAGTTTAATTACAAAAGTTGTAAGTCTCTTTATTACCTACAACTTTGTCATTTAACTTTTTTTCATAGGACTTGTAGTTTTGCCGGAAATCGAGATTCACCGTTTTTTACCCTTAAAAACTCACCCCTTCCACTTCCCGACCTCAGATCGCCCGTAAATTATATTTCCTTTCATTTTTGTTATATTCTCGTCCTTTTTTAACGGGTTTCATCCTACTATTATTTTTTTTCACTTTTTACTATTTTCAAAATTATCGACCCTGGTCTAGAGTTATTAATTGTTTCACGTAGCTTAGCCAAAAGCAGCCGAACTCTTAATTGAATTCAATACGTTTGGTTGTTTTTTCCCAACTATACTGCCCTTGATTTTTACAAATAAGTAAGGGAGGGGAGTCAAGTTGAGTGACAGATCGTTTGAAAATTATTCCAAATAATCTAATTTTCTATTATAGTCTCGAAGGGGCAAATTATTTTAGGCAGCATTGAAAAAAATTAATTTTTTAACACGTACCATGGTTTGATCTGGTTCTAAGCATACGTCAAACTCCGGTGTTACATTTTTGGAGTGAGGGCAAACAAAGGCAACCCTAGTTATTATTAAAGAGGAAGGCCGCCGCCCAGCTTTCAATTGACATCAGTTGCGACAAAATTGTAGAATTCTTCACAAAACGCGTATTGCATTGGTTTGCTCTCTTTCCAAATAAGTAGCACTTCAGTTTGCTTTTATTTTGACGCGCGTTTTGACGAAATTAGTGCCAAATAAAAGCTGACAGCCTTCTCTCTGAAAGTAAATAAGGTTACCTTTGTTTACGATCTTTCCAAAAACGTAGCACCAAAATTTATTGTCATTTTGTTGCGCGTTCTACAAAAGGTGTTCCTATTTTGTCGCAACTTGTGTCGAATGAAAGCTGACATCCTCCTATTTAATAATAATAAGGGTTGCCATTGTTTGCGCTCACTTCAGAATTAATGTAGCAGCACTGAACTTTGTTTAGCAAATCATGGCTAGTCTGGTGTGCAGAAATACATAACCTATAATTTTTCTTTAATTCCAGCCTAAAATAATGCGCTCCTTCGTTTTTCTGTGGCATTCTCAGTCTTTTGCCGAATCAGTTTTGACACACAGACCAAATTAGTCTCCCTTGTATAATAAAATATACTCATGTCTAATTAGTAGGAGTGTGATATATATATATAAAAGTTTCTCTCAAGTATGTAGATATTTGGACTGAACGAGTTTTAAAGATGTGAGTAAAGAAAGTTAAAGTTAACGAGAGAAGAGTAAAACGTGTTTTCAAACAAAATTTACTTCTCTATTTTTCTTTTGACGACTGATAGTGCCTTTAGTTTCTTAATTTTTGGTTTTGTGTAGCAAATGTTCGCTGATCTTTTCTCAATTGATTTTCACCAAAAACTGCACTTTGCATACAAAATACTAGTTTTAATATTGTAGCAAATATTATTACTTCATTTTTTTTTAAAGTGATTGAAATGAATCTCAACTATCTAAAGTCGAAATAACAGGTTTTTGGTGAAACAAAAATTCTTTTTAATAATGCATCTAGAAAATAAAGGGATGGTTTAAAATACGTACAATCTAAATATTCTATTTCTGTCAATATTAATTTATTATTGGAATTTTACTCGAGCAACATCTTTCAACGTTTCTCTAAGACC